TGACTAGACATCTGTCTTAAGGGGTCCTTCCACTTGGCTCTTGCCAGGTCCCGATGTCACAGCACTCTCCTCCCTGCCCTGTGACCCCATCTTAGGACCAGGTGTTCCAGTTCTGCTGTCGTGATTGCTGTGAGGACTTCAAGCGGCTTCGGGGTGTGGTGTCCCAATGTGAGCATTGCCGGCAGGAGAAACTCCTGCATGAGAAACTCCGTTTCAGCGGCGTGGAAAAGAGTTTCTGCAGCGAAGGTAAGGAAATGGAGAAGGGGTCAGAGGCCTTGTGCCACACAGCAGGGAGACTGGCAGAGAAAGGATGAGGGCTTGGGATGCGATCTTGGGGCAAGGGCCTTCTATTCAGGATGCTCGGGCCCCTGTCCATCCTAAGGCTTTGGGCCCAAGAGACTGTTGGGGAGAGCTTTCAGTTGTACCACCTTGAAAAGGTAGGTCTCACGGTCATGAAGATCTGTGTCTCTGGACTCTTTCCAGGCTGTGTGCTGCTGTACAAACAGGACTTCACTAAGAAGCTGGGACTGTGCTGTATCACTTGTACTTACTGCTCCCAGACCTGCCAGCGTGGAGTCACCGAGCAGCTGGATGGCAGCACCTGGGACTTCTGCAGTGAGGACTGTAAGAGCAAGTACCTGCTGTGGTACTGCAAGGTAAGGGGGAGCAGAAAGGGTAGAGATGGCAACAGGCTGTTGTGCTGTGATCAGGTGTGAGCCAATCTCCAGGGAGGGGGCTCCAGCTGACCAGCTTCCAAAGGAAGAGCTTATCCCAAGGCAAAGGGCTCAGCATGTTTTAGGGATGCAGGTCTGATCATCCTGTCAATACCCGCAGGCTGCCCGGTGCCATGCCTGTAAGCGACAGGGGAAGCTACTAGAGACCATCCACTGGCGCGGGCAGATCCGTCATTTCTGCAACCAACAGTGTCTGCTGCGCTTCTACAGCCAGCAGAACCAACCCAACTTGGACACCCAGAGTGGGCCCGAGAGCCTCCTGAACAGTGAGTCCTGGGCAGGAGGCACTTTGTTAGAACTAGTCTGGACTCTAATCCTGGGCCCAGCCCCTCTCTTCTTCTTTCATCTCATCCCTGACCAGAGCTCATAGTACTGTGCTTTCTTTTAGCTTCTGGACTGCAGATACTAGGGGTAGTCTTGTTTAAAGGTTTCCAGAGCTACCTTCCACTGATTTTCTATAACGGATGTATTTTTAGGGAATGGATACCAGGTAGGATGGGGCATGTTGGGACTGTGGTTAATTTTCAGAGAGAAGGAAGCATCAGCATAAGCTCTGCCTTTAGTGAAACTGAAGGCCATTACTGTTTCAGGACTATTATCCTGGCCCCTCTGGGGTACTCCAGCGGTACCAAACTCCTGAGGGCCATGAAATGGAAGAGCTCAAATTATGGGTCATTGGGGAAGCTTAATCTTTTTCATTCTCTGTGGCAGCCAGGGCAAAAGAACCTTCCTGGCCACTGTGTCTATGGCCTAGAGAAGACTAGGCCTGGGGTGGTGAGGAAGAGAAATTCTAGACTTCCTGTTCACATTTGATGTATCTCTTAATGAAGCTCTTCTGGAACAGGATGATGAAAATGGAGAGTTGGTCCCACAGCAGAAAACATTCATTTGTTTTGATCTACAGGTCAGTCTTCTGAGGCAAAGCCCCAGACACCCTCTCAAACCAAAGTGGAGAACAGCAATACAGTGAAGACCCCAGAGGAAACTGGGAATCTGGGCAAGGTCAGGGCAAAAGCCAAGGGGGAGGATGGTCTCAGAGGAGGGTCTAGCAGTTGGTGGCACTAACATTCCTTTGTCTGCAGATCCCTGTGAAGATCCGGTTGGCTCCCACTGCTTCTACTCCTCCTCCCTCTGCACCACCCCCAGCCACGCCCCGCAAAAACAAAGCTGCCATGTGTAAGCCTCTGATGCAGAATCGGGGGGTCTCCTGCAAAGTGGAGATGAAGTCCAAAGGGATTCAGACAGGTGAGTGAGCCAGGGTACCTGGATACCACAGGCTTTATTTTATAGTCCGAGGCCTGCAGCCCTGTGCCTAGGAGCTAGACAAGGGGGTTTCTTAGGTGGATGAAGTATCATGGATATGGTTGTCCCAGAATCACAGAGTTGACTCTCCACCTTTGATGCAAGGGCAGTTTTGTGACAATGAGCTTTGGCGATGACAGGCAAGTATCAGGTAGTGGGCAGATGTGACCTACCTAACGTGGGCTCTGAGAAGACCCCTTTCTTGTCAGCAGAAGAGTGGAAGCCACAGGTGATTGTGCTGCCCATCCCAGTGCCCATCTTTGTGCCAGTGCCTATGCATCTGTACTGCCAGAAAGTCCCAGTGCCTTTCTCAATGCCCATCCCGGTAAGTTTCCCGTCCAGAGTTGACCCACCACTGCCCCTTACTCTCACCACCTGTCCCTCTCACCCACTGGGTTGGTTCTTGGCATTTAGTTGGGATTTATGTCTCTAGGTGCCTGTGCCCATGTTCCTGCCCACTACCTTGGAGAGCACAGACAAGATTGTGGAGACCATTGAGGAGCTGAAGGTGAAGATCCCTTCCAACCCCTTGGAGGCCGACATCCTGGCTATGGCAGAAATGATTGCAGAGGCTGAAGAGTTAGACAAGGCCTCATCTGACCTTTGTGGTATGCCATGGACAGCAGCAATGAGGGGGCCAGGGTTTTACTAGTCTGTCTCTGCCTAAGTGGGTGGGAGTGGTAACCTTGGTACCTAGTGGGATGGGAGCGTGGTTGCAATCAGCCCCTGAAAGCCTGTGAGGGAGCTAGGTAAGAGCTGCAGTGAGTAAGCCAACTTCTCTTCCTCCCAGATCTTGTGAGCAACCAGAGTGCAGAGGGACTTCTTGAAGACTGTGACCTGTTTGGGCCAGCTCGAGATGACGTTCTGGCCATGGCTGTCAAGATGGCCAATGTCTTGGATGAACCTGGGCAAGACTTGGAGGCAGACTTCCCCAAGAGTGAGTGGAATTCAAGGCATGCCCACTGGGTACGGTAGCATTTGTGCCATAAGGAAAAGAGTGTGGTTTTTTTTTTGTGACCTGGAGCATGACCCTAACAGTGCTCCTTGTGACCAGTGACAAAAAGCTGTCAAGGGAGTAGAGGCAGAGATACTGGAATAGATGCACGATCTTACACTTGAGTCTTGTTTTGTTTTATTTATTTATTTTAAATATATTTTTATTAGTTTCAGGAAGGAAAAGAGAGGGAGAGAGACAGAAACATCAATGATGAGAGAGAATTACCGATCGGGTGCCTCCTGAACGCCCCACACTGGGGATCAAGCCCGCAACCTGGGCATGTACCCTGACTGGGAATCGAACTGAGCCACACTGATCGGGCTTGTTTTGTTTTAATTGTGGTAAAACACATAATATGAAATTTACCACATTTGAGTGTGCAGTTCAGTAGTGTTAAGAGCTTTCCCACTGTTGTGAGTTTTTGCATCTCTGTGCCTCTGAGCATGTTCTTCATCTGGCTTTTCTGGTTCCTACTGAGTGCAATTGGAGCTGTCTGAGAAGCTTGTTTCAAGTCAGGTGTGCAAGTAGCAGGGGTGGGGTGGGAGGGCTACAGTATTGAGATCTTAAAAATCGGTTTGCTTCCTTTAACCTCTAACAGATCCTTTGGACATTAACCCCAGTGTAGACTTCCTCTTTGATTGTGGCCTGGTAGGGCCTGAAGACGTGTCTACTGAACAAGACCTTCCCCGAACCATGAGGAAGGTGAGGGCTGGGACTGCCGTATCCACAGAAGAGTGATGGAGGCTCAAAGGGCTAGGGATGGGGTGCTTTCATAGCCAAGTCAGCAGCTTTAGTTTAACCTTCCCTGGCTGACCGCCTTTCTCCATCATTCAGAGCACAAACTTTGCTCTCTCCCCAGTTCCCAAAGTCATCAGAGCTACCCCTGGGGCTCTGTGCTTCCATAGCAGTGTTCTTACATCAGTCCCCCACTCCCCTGCTGATAAACACTGTCCTGACTAGTTTCCATGGTGTTCCTGACCTTATCTCCTTCAACCCACCTCCTTTCTTTTCCCTCCAGGGTCAAAAGCGGCTGGTGCTTTCAGAGAGCTGTTCCCGGGACTCCATGAGCAGCCAGCCAAGCTGTACTGGACTTAACTATTCATATGGTGTCAATGCTTGGAAGTGCTGGGTGCAATCAAAATATGCCAATGGAGAAACCAGCAAAGGTGATGAGTTGCGCTTTGGCCGTAAGTACCCAGGGGAGGGAGGCAGGATGAGAGGAGGAGGGGAAGGGGAAAGGAGCAGGGCTGTGATTCAGCTGAAGATGTCTATGAATGATAAGGCTGTCATTATGCAAGGGTGTCCTGTGAACATTGGGAGGAGTTGCAAAATAAGGGGAGATGCTGTCTAGATTTCAAGGCTTAGGGCTCTTTTGGTAATTGGTGGTTTGTTCTGGAGCTGGACATGACTAAGTGATAAAGGAATTAATGGTGGAGCTAAATGAAATTCTCAATGTGAAGTTTTCTTAATCCTATCTACCTTCACTACATATCACTGCAGCGAAACCTATGCGTATCAAAGAAGATATTCTGGCCTGCTCAGCTGCTGAGCTCAACTACGGTCTGGCCCAGTTTGTGAGAGAAATCACTCGACCCAATGGTGAACGATATGAACCTGACAGCATTTACTACTTGTGTCTTGGCATCCAACAGGTACCCCTTGCACACCACCTCAGTTGTAGTCACTCTCAACCCAGCAACACAGCAGGCAATGTCCCAGCAGAAATGATTCTGTCCACTCCCTGGTCCTCACTTTGTCTGCTATCCTGAGCAGGCAGTCTTTTGTCTCCTACTCCAAGCAGGACAACACATGTCAATACTCCTCTAAAATAAAAGCTGTGTCCCAGGACTGTTGGCCAAGGAGCCATCTTCATTGCTCTCTGGGTCCCCTTTGTAATCCTCAAACCCATTCCAGGAGGGGAGGGATGGGTAGAGCTGGGCTCCTCGGGTGGTGGAGTAATGTTTAGGACCCACTGGGAGAGGTCAGCCAGGCATCATTACCTGACAAGGGGTCTGTGCTTGTGAAAAAGCTGCTGTGACCCATCTCCTCCATGCCTCCTCCTCTTCCAGCCAGGCCTTGGTGCCTCAGAGTTGTAGGTATACCTGGCGAAAAGCACTCTGGGTCATGAAATCAAGCAGCTATTTACCACCATCTCCTAATTGTCAAGGTTGCTGTGCCTGGGGCCTTTGGTATCACTGTCTTTTCTCTAGGACCTAGAGTCTAGCTTTATGTGTGTCTCTTTTTCCTTCTCCAGTACTTGCTGGAAAATAACCGAATGGTGAACATTTTCACGGACCTTTACTACCTGACTTTCGTTCAAGAACTCAACAAATCTCTGAGTACCTGGCAGCCCACACTCCTTCCCAACAGTAAGGGACAAGGACTTAGCAACCCCTATACCCTTCACTCCATTCTTCAGAGACACCATTCCAAAAGTCCCAGGCTATTTGATCTGTTACTCTTCACAGAGAGTTTGAGGGCAGGAGCATGTAGCTGGGTGCCTTGGAGTTGAGAGCTTGAGGACACAGAGCCCCTGTCCTTGAACATGAGAAGGGGATCAAGACTTAAGTCTGAACAACTATTTCTGGAACCACAAAAGGTGGCCTGAGTTTGGGTGGTAATTGAAAAAAAAGAGAAGTTGTGGGACTCCTCAAAGTTTACATCTACCTGCCTATAACGTGTGGGTGGTGAGAGAAGCTCCAAATGCAGGTGGAAACTATATAAAAATCCATCTAGTCCTATTGTGTAATACAGCAGGGTGTCAGGGTTTTATGCACAGTGGCAACTTACTAAACAGAAATGCTTATGAGCAGAATGTCTGGGATCAGGGCTTGGGTAGTTGTTTGCTCCTGACTAGCCTCTCCTTGACCATTTGCAGATACAGTGTTTTCCCGAGTGGAGGAAGAACACCTCTGGGAGTGTAAGCAGCTGGGGGTCTACTCACCCTTTGTCCTTCTCAACACCCTCATGTTCTTCAACACGAAGTTTTTTGGGCTGCAGACGGCTGAGGAACACATGCAGCTCTCCTTCACCAATGTAGTGCGGCAGTCCCGCAAGTGCACCACCCCCCGGGGCACCACCAAGGTGGTGAGCATCCGCTACTACGCTCCTGTTCGCCAACGGAAAGGGCGAGGTATGAGGCTGCCCCTCGTTTGCTTTCCTCCCTCTCTGTTCTCATCTTCCATGCTCCACCTTAATTACTAGGTGGGCCCTTTCCTTTATCACTGTCCTCCCTATGCTTCCATTCGTACGTTTGCAGAACAAGTAAAAACAGCCAGTCCTTTAACCTGATGATTAGTGGTTGTTGCATAAATAGGAGGTTACCCAGCTGCCTGTTTCCACCTTTCCTCATTTCAAGGAAGTTGACTTTCTTGTCTACTTTTGGCAGGGTAGTGGACAGGTGGGAAGCTGTTGGGTGTGTGGTCTGTGGGAGAAGTTGACAATAAGACCGTCATTCCGTGGTTTTTTGCTGTTGGGTATAACAAGAACTGCACCTTGATTTCTGTTCTGGCCCTGAAATCCTAACCCATCTGAGTGCAGTTCCTATGGTTCCTTCTTGGAATCTGAGCCTCTACCTAGACTAGTTTAATGGGGTCTAGGGCCATCATGCTTTTTTTTTTTTTAATCCCAGAAGGTAAGTCCAACCTTGCAACAGGGCAAGATTGTAAAGACTTGAACAATGTGAATGGGGTAGGGGGAGTGGGTTACAGAGCATCACCCTGAAGTTTGGCTGGTGTGGGGAGACTTACAGACTCTTCTGCTTTTTTCTTTACTAGTGGCCCAGTGCACGAAATTCGTGCGGGGGGGGGGGAGCGATGGGGGAGGGGGGTAGTTCCCTCAGCCCAGCCTGTACCCTCTCCAATTAAAAAATTGAACCGCTTTCTTATACCTTACACCAAACAGCTATTGCCCTTAAAACTCCTCCTCAGCCCCCACCTTAGGTTCTGACTTCACAGTTCACTCAGATTAGGTTCTGATTGCTTGGTTTTTATGCCAGTCAGTGTCAAAAGCTCAGCCTCCTAGGCAGCAATTGGCTCCTCGCAGTTCACCCAGATTTGGTTCTGATTGGTCAGTTTCTATTCCAGTCAGTGTCAAAAGCTCCATCTTCTAGGCAGCCATTGGCTCCTCACAGTTCACCCAGATTTGGTTCTGATCAGTCGGTTTCTATGCCACGCAGCATCAAAAGCTCCACCTCCTAGGTAGCCATCTTGTGATGGCATGAGGGTGTGAGGGTTAATTTGCATATTACCACTTTATTATATATGATGAGCCTGTAATATGTGTCCTGAGGCCTTCCTGAGTGCACTTAGAGTGGCTTGTTGAGACTGCTTTTAACAAGTCTGAGTCATTTGCCTCCTCTACAGACATGGGTTCTGGGAAGCGGAAGAGAGAAGATGAAGCCCCAATCTTAGAGCAGCGTGAGAACCGCATGAATCCCCTCCGCTGCCCTGTCAAGTTCTATGAATTCTATCTCTCAAAATGGTGAGTTGGCAGGTTTGCAGGAATGGCATTAGCATGGGGACTCATGGGATCCACTTTGCCTCAGTACTGATCTGTCCCACCCCATCATTGCAGTCCTGAAAGCCTCCGGACTCGCAACGATGTGTTCTACCTGCAACCTGAGCGGTCCTGCATTGCCGAGTCACCTCTCTGGTACTCTGTGATCCCCATGGACCGAAGCATGTTGGAGAGTATGCTCAATCGCATTCTAGCTGTGCGTGAGATTTATGAGGAGCTGGGTCGTACTGGGGATGAAGACCTGGACTGAACCCATCTGTATCCATCTTTCACACCAGTGTCTGGCTTGTCACCATGTCCCACAGGGCGACTGGCCCAGGAAACCAATGCTACTCATTCTGAAGGGCCGTGACTGCCCTTTTCTACTCATCCATTCCCTGCCTTCCCTAGGAACCCCTGGCTTTTACCTTCTTCCAAACTATTTGACAACCACGGGTCCCCAGTCCTCTCTACTTGAGGGCTGATTAACTAGTGATAGGCAAAAACCAGCTAGGCCATTTTCTCTGTGCTTCAGAGTAAACCCCTTCTGCTGGGGCCAGACTCTGGATGGAGTGTTAATAGCTCTGGTGATCCTGTTGGCTTTGGGTTTCCTGACCCATCCCACGTAGGTAAAGCCCCTTGTTCCTAGATTTGGCCAAGGGAAGAATTCAGCTGCCTTCTCTCCTGTGCCCA